TAGTAATGGTCAACTTCATAAAAAATATATCATCTCTCTCTCTCTCTCTCTCTCTCTCTATATATATATATATATGCTTTAAGAAATGTTGTATTATTATTTCTTAGTTTTGCCTTTTTATTGCAAAGTAATCACAACCGTTCATCTAATCTAATGAATATCTAACATAGATCATAGTAAATAAACTATAGTAATATTTCATAAATATCTGAATCATAATAAATAAACTTTCATCATTTCAATAATTATCTCAATTAATTGATTTGTATGGTTTATACAAATGAATATATATCATCTCTCTCTATATATATGCTTTAAGAAATGTTGTATTATTATTTCTAGTTTTGTCTTTTATTGCAACTTCGTTATGTCAAAATGATGATAGCCAAGTTTGGGTTAGATTTATTGTGTTAGTTGTATTGTTAATTATTTTTATATAATAAATGTTTTTTTTAATATATTTTTTTGTTTAAATAATATTTTTAACGTTTTTTTAAGACAAGATATGTTTTCTGGTCTACCAAACGGTCTTTTAAATTTATTTTCAAATTTGAAGTAACATTTTAGATATAAATGTAGAAGTGTTTGAATCATACTGCATTTGTGTAATATAGATGTAAATTTTTATTATAAATATACAACGAAACTTTAAATTAATTCATTCTTAAAAAGGAAAAGCGCAAATTGCATGAAAAAACAACTTACTTTAACTTGATTCATATTTTGGGTTAATGTATTTCCATAACTTCCATTTTGGTAACTAAGATGTAAAATTTTAAACATTTAAGTACTCGGGTAACCGATTAAAACATTAAACGGTTACCATGCTGATATAGTGAGTGATATGATATTCAACTCAGTATTATTTTCATGTGAAGGTTTTATGTGTTTTTAAAATGAAAATATGTGCAAGTCATGTTCAAGTCTCGTCTTCTGTACAATTATGTCAATGAAGTTCACTTGTTTACGAAAATGTCATCATGTCCATGGAAAAGTATCACATGATTCCAAGTGTATATAGAAGTTAAATCATCTCAAACAAATTCTTCAAAATGGAGAATGAAACTTTGAAATCTCAACCAAAGGGCTTTTAACCTAGCGGTATCGTAGCATTTAGCCTTCTAGGAGGTCAGAGGGTTCAAACATCACCAAAAATGAGGAAGGTGTGTGAGTTTATTCGTTACATTTGCTGTATATAATAATTATATACTTAAAAAAAAACTCTCTTTAAAACAAAAATACATCCAATAGATTATCTTAAATAGATAATCAAAAGTCAATATTTTCAAAGAAAATTTATATTTATCTCAAATTACGATATAAATTATATTATTAAAATATTTGATATCTTTTATAAAATATTATTTCTCTCTCTCCTACACTTATTTTAAAATATTCTCATTGGTAAAAATAATAAAAAAATAGATAATTATTTTTGGAGAGTTACCCAAATTTGGAGACTTTTACCATCTCTCTTATTATTTTCTCCATTTTGAAGAAGGTTTTGATAAATTTATTGGAGATGCCCGTATGCAATATCTCTCATACTTTCTCTATTTTGAAGGATTTGTTGAGACAAAAAAAACCTGTCTAAACTATCTAAAATATCGATTTCCCTTTTTAAGAACGGTTGGGTTCCGGTGAGAAAGAGAGTTAAGGTGAAAAACATAAGAAGAGATCTCCACCCTTAGATGCATATTAGGATGAGATGCACCGGATGAATCCCCATATCAAACACGATTCATGGATGATTTTGAGATTAAAGGTGATCAAATATTCATATCTCGCTTCTTATTTTACTCTCTTTCTGACACGATATTCCGCTTTTAAGAATCGATAAACGGTGACGAAGAACATACAAAAAAAAGGCCTAACATTATGCTTTGCCTAACAAAACATTATGGATTTGAATTTTAAAGAAAACTAATATATTAAATGTAATAACAATATAGTCTTTATTTTATGGTATAGCTTATACATAAATAAAACATAATTAGATTGAACTGAATTGATGCAAATTCAGTTAGTTGTATATCTGGTTTTTTATATGATTGAAATATGTTTACATATATTGTCTGTATAATGTTTGGTATGTTGACATATAAATGGTAAAAGTGCTTAATTTGACAAGAATAATTGTCCCTAAACAATGATTCATATTTTTTTTATCATATAATAATTTAAACACATATAATTATATATAATTATGAATTACTTTTATACAACATTCATACATTATTTTCATTGTAATTTTTTTATTAAAATTCGTACATGATCTTTATGTTATATTTATAAACATTATATAAAAGAGCGATCAAATGCAAATCACCCATATTTATACAAACTATGTAAACCACTTTCATATGTCGATTTGATTAATTAATCTTATGACTTTTTTTTATAAAATTGTTTAATCTTATGACGTTTTATATAATATTTTTTTGATGAAGTTGTTTCATATATGGTTATGAATTTTTGATGAAATTGTTTCATGTATTTCTTTAAAACTAATATAATGAAAATGATAATATCCATGATTAACACCTTTTACAATAAAAATGATTAATCAACCTCTTATAATTACAAAAAAAATGAAAAAAATAAAAATTATGATTGGTTGAATAAGGTTTGTACGGTTTGTATAAAGAACATGGTTTGCAAAGTAAACTTCCTCTCACACACACACACACACATATATATATATATATACATACATATACATATATACATAGACTTGGGATCACGTGAGACCAACCTGTTCTCATTAGACTCGTGAGACCATTTTTTTACACTTGAAACTTCATAGTAAAACGTTGTGAATGTTCGTTTTTTTTTACATTCACAACATTTTGTTGTGTAGTTTAAAGTGTAAAAAAATAATCTCATGAGTCTAATGAAAACAGGCTGGTCTCACGTGTGTATACACACACATATATATATATATATATATATATAAAATGTAAGTACGGATAAAGATGGTTTTGTAACTTAGCCCTTCTAGTCAATTGGTTTTGTAACTTAGCTCTTTTAGTCTCATAACATTATTCGTTTTTGTTCCACTTATTTTTGTCAGTACGTAACTTGTTTATTCCTCTCAAAAGAAAGTTTTATATTATATCATATAAAATTGGGTTCACATGAAAACCAACCATTTTCTACAAGAAAGCCCATGAAACTACCTACTAGCTATAAATCGATCAAACGAGACATTTACGCAAATGATTATAGTTTATTTATTATGATTAACGTTTTAAAGTGGAAAACAATCAAGATATTTATAAAATCGGATATTTATTAGACCTAATTGGGATTGGTATCTATGATTTATATTAACAATAATTTTTGTATCGAGGGAAAAACATACGTACACATTGTGCATCTTGTATGCATATTTGGGTATCACAGCGAATATCGTTGATTTGTATATTTTTTGACGATGTCTTTAGGTATCAAAGTAGGTATTATGATACACATATGGTTCACCGGATTAAGGTTTGTTGGAGAGAGGAAAGATGAGTTAAAATTTGTAAAATTCCCTTAATTAATATTTGAAATTAAAATTACTAAAATTATTAATTTTTTAATATAACTTTTGATTTGTGGTTGATATTGGATTTTAAGATTATCACAAATTAATGAGTTATCCCTTGCCCATATATCTATACTATATTATAAAGCATTTGACAAAAAGTTTTAAAAACCATTTTTTATGCATGAAGTACTGTTTATTGATGCATATTATTTAAAATTCAAGATTACAAGTATTTTTGCATAAGTACAACTTATTAAAGCTTCATTTTTAAATTCGTGTAACTAACTGCAGATAAACATAATCAAATACAGAATAAACTTTCATTTTAAATATAGAAAACCTAAAATATAATTAAGATAATTATTAAGAAAACCTAACAGAATATTAATTATTATCTTTATAAAAATTATATTATTAAATCAAAAATAAATTTTTAATTAAATCTATTAAATTACAATAAAAATTTGAATTAAAGAAGTTACATCAAAAAATAAGAACTATTAAATAGTTAATTTGGTACTAATATTTATTTATTTATTTTTAAATTTATATTCATTCAAAAATAAAAACATTATTGTTTTCTCAAAACCACTTAAAATCGTATTATATCATTAGATAGAGAATAAAAATAAGATTTATCTCGCTGCATTGCGCGAGTACCCTTCTAGTATCTATACTATATTATAAAGCATTTGACAAAAACTTTTAAAAAACCATTTTTTATACATAAAGTACTATATATTGATGCATATTACTTAAAAATTCATAATTACAGGTAAATTATGCATAAGTGCAACTTATTAAAGCTCAATGTTTGAATTCGTGTAACTAATTGCGGATAAACATAATCAAATATAGGATAAATATCACATTTTAAAATATAAAAATTCTAAAATTATAATTAAAATAATTATCGAGTTCTAACAAAATAATTAATTATTATCTTTATAAGAAAATCATATTATTTAAACAAATATAAATTATTTCGTTATTGAACCTAAATTAAAGTATAATAAAAAATTGAATTAAAAAATTACACGAAAAATAGGAATTTTAAATAGTTAATTTGATATTAATATCGATATATTTTTGTCAAAATTTTATAATATCTTCAAATTTATATTTTATTCAAAAATAAAAACATCATCATTTTTTCAAAATCACATAAGACCATACTATAACAGACTGAGATAAATAATAAAATGAAACATGAAAATCAAAATATATTTTGCTGTATTGCACAAGTACCTTTTTAATATATATATATATAAAAGTATAGATATATATATATATATATATATATATTATATATCAATTTGGTGGATATAATTTTATTGACTAATTTGGAACTGTGGTCAAGTCATCCCCATTAGGCGCGGTAGGTGAGACGATGGAGAGGGAGTAGTATTATAAAAGCGATCCCCTCCACTTTTCTTTTTCCAAGGCCTGCCCAACTTAAACCCACTTCATACCGAATCAACACCAACCATACCAATACACCACCTTCTCTAAATTCTCTCACTCATTTCATCCAACCCCTACGCTGCGCAATTCGTTTTCGTTTCTTCAAAGGTAAATTGCTTGATCATTTCCAGCTGTTTGAGTTCCATTTCTAAATGGAAATCATTACAATCATCTGCTAACTAACCCTCTTCATCTTCTTCTTCTTGTTGTTGTTGTGGTTTCTCTTTTTGGTAATCAACTATATCACAGAATTCTCGTTTGTGGAACTACTTTTCAACTGCAATGAAATCCTATTGTGTTTCTACAGACTCGTTGATGTTATTGTCTTATTGAATTTGTTTTATGTTCCGTTGTTGAATACAGTCAATCAAGCAAAAAGGAGATGAAGATCGAGGTGAGAGAATCAACGATGGTGAGGCCGGCCGAAGAGACGCCAAGGATAAATCTATGGAACTCAAATGTCGACCTGGTTGTCCCCAATTTTCACACACCGAGTGTGTATTTCTATCGGCCCAACGGCGCCGCCAACTTCTTTGATCCGAAGGTGATGAAGGATGCGTTGAGCAGGGCCTTGGTTCCGTTTTACCCGATGGGAGGCAGGTTGAAGAGAGACGAAGATGGCCGGATAGAGATCGATTGTCAAGGACAAGGTGTTTTGTTCGTGGAGGCGGAGTCTGACGGCGTGATCGATGATTTCGGCGACTTTGCACCGACGTTGGAGCTCCGGAAACTCATCCCGGCGGTCGATTATACCCTAGGAATTGAATCCTATTCGCTGCTAGTCTTGCAGGTATTAAACCAATCCCATTTTATTGCTTCGCAATATTTTTCAGCATCTCCGATACTTTAAAACGAAGAATCGAAAATCTTCAAATATGTTATTAAAATATTTAATATAATTAATATTGTTTCTTTCTTTTATGCATTTAATTTTAAAGATTTTTACCGAAATTTTTTTGAAAAAAAATTAAATGATTACTTAGAACACATTAAATGATTAAGAGCCTTTTATTATATAGTACAAAATGAAATATAATTGTTTGATAATTTTCAGAATGAAATTATGGTGCTAAATGGTTAAGGAACTTTTTTATCAAACAAGATTCACCTTTTAACGATTCAGAGGCTGCCTCTTAATAAAACTATTAAGAGGTAAACAAACAACCCCAATAATAAATACCAAAATTAAACTCCAATAATTAAATATTAAAATTACTCTATATTTTATACGAATAAGCCAGCACCTATCAAAGAAACATTCTTGTTTCTTGATGAATTAAATATATAGTTGAATTTTGTAGCTGACAAATTGGAAGTTATGATTTTGTCTAGAAGCAACTTAATACCTACAGCTGATTTATTGATATTTTTCTGATCTTTAAATGCAGGTCACTTATTTTAAATGTGGTGGGGTCTCACTGGGAGTTGGGATGCAACATCACGCGGCTGATGGTGCATCTGGGTTGCACTTCATCAACACTTGGTCCGATTTGGCTCGTGGCCTTGACCTAACCGTCCCACCCTTCATTGATCGAACCCTTCTACGAGCCCGTGACCCACCCCAGCCAGCCTTTGACCACATCGAATACCAGCCTGCTCCTCCGATGAAAACCGCACCCACACCCACACCCACCGATGACGAATCGGTTCCTGAAACCACTGTCTCGATTTTTAAGCTAACACGAGACCAAGTCAATGCACTCAAAGGAAAATCCAAAGAAGATGGCAACACTATCAATTACAGCTCCTATGAGATGCTCTCGGGTCATGTTTGGCGGTGCGTGTGCAAAGCACGTGGGCTTCCCGACGATCAGGATACGAAGCTTTACATTGCTACGGATGGACGGGCCCGCCTTCGCCCGTCGCTGCCACGTGGCTATTTCGGGAATGTCATATTCACGACGACTCCGATAGCGGTAGCGGGAGACCTACAGTCGAAGCCGACGTGGTATGCCGCTAGTAAAATCCACGATGCTTTGGCAAGGATGGACGACGATTATCTAAAATCGGCACTTGATTACTTGGAACTGCAGCCTGATCTGAAGGCCCTGGTTCGTGGGGCTCATACGTTTAAGTGCCCGAATCTTGGGATAACCAGCTGGGCTAGACTCCCGATTCACGATGCCGACTTCGGATGGGGTCGACCCATATTCATGGGACCCGGTGGAATTGCTTATGAAGGGTTGAGTTTTGTGTTACCAAGCCCAATTAATGACGGGAGCTTGTCGATTGTGATTTCGCTGCAAGCTGAACACATGAAGCTTTTCAGCAACTTCCTATATGATATCTAAAATGGTTATGGCCATGGCTATATATTTCTCATTATTCCTAAAACCTTTTCCCAGACACAATATCGTTACATGTCAATGGAGGCTGAAACAGTCTTTCGTCAGCTTATTGGTTTAATACCTTTAATATATATATATATATATATACATATATATATATATATCCATGCAAGTATTATTGTCGTGATCAGAGTTTACAGTTAGATAAACCTTTGGTATAATTGATAAAGTTCGTAGCCAGATAGACCTTCTTTAGCATTTTGATGGTGGAAATCGAATACCAATTTTTTTTTTTTAATAACCTGGATATCCAACCCGCTATGCAAATCGACTAATCTTGATCTTGTTTTGTGAACATAAGGTGTCTTCAATATTAATGGTGATGGGGTTGTGAATTTGAGAAATCACAGGATACTTGCCTGCTCAAATTTGTTGATTCCCTTTTTCGGTATGAAATGGAGGCATCCCATATCATTTGAGGAGACAAGAGAAGTGGGTATAAATTGAGAAAAAAGCACCCTATTTGATCAGTATTATCTATTTTTATCGGTTTAATATCTGATATGTATATCATTGGTCTATTTGATATTGTTCTTATTCTTTAAATGAGGAAAAATCCATTACAATAGTTTCTGCCTCACCCCTTGTATTCTAGTTACAAAAAAGCTCGATAGAAGAAACTTATGATGATATTTAAAAAACCGAAGACATCCCAACTTGAAATATATGACTTTTATCTGATCTCGTGAAGCTGTTTCAGTTTATGCTCCTACCTATTATTATGTGGATATACAACTATGAATAAAGAAGATTTATAAATATCACATCTGCTTACAAACTGGTACTTAAGGATATTTTTTTTATCGCATAACGATTTTTTTTAAGTGAACTAGTTTTTGGAGAGAAGTGGATGTTATTAGGACATAAGAATCCCTTTTTGTAATTTTTCTTATCACATTATTAACAACTTAACAAATTAAAAACTAACCTAAAACACCATAATGAATTGACCAATAAAAATATCCTTTTTATGGTCTCACTTATAATAATTAGGGAAATCGAGGGAACTATTTTCAGAGACCAAATTCATCTCTTAGTCATTTCTCTTCGGAAATTTTCAAAACATCATTATCTCTGTAAGTGAGACATACGTGACTTGCGGAGGAACTAAAAGACAAAAAATTCACTTTTCACTAGGTCTACAAGAGGGTGAAAATTGATTTTTTTTTTCCATTTTCCCTCCGCTCCGCAAGTGGCACCTCCACAAGTAGGTGAAAAGTGAATATTTGAAAAATCCAGAGAGGAATGACTAAAAGATAAATTTGATCCCTGAAAATAGCTATTTCTATTAATTTCCCCAATGACTATTATATAAAATATATATAATATTTGACACGGAGATTGAAGCAAGAATCAAGGTTCTTTCACTAGAACTTAAAAAGTTAAAAACCCCTACAAGAACTCCTGGCAGTGGTATTGATTTATAGGGTTGAGTTCTGACGAGAAGGAGAATCAAGGTGAGAAGCATAAGAAAGAATTTCCACATTTGGATGCACATTAGGATGATATATACCGAGATGAGATGCACGAGATCAATCCCCCTATCAAGCGTGATTCATGGATCGTTTTGAGATCAAAGGTGATCAAGAGTATAAATCCCTCTTACACTTCTCACATTAACTCTCCTTCTTACATCAGCGTTCTTAAGGCCAAAGAGTCGGCAACGGTACGTCGCCATGATTTATAATAACTAAACACTTCTCACCATAACTCTCTTTCTCATGGGAGATGCTCTTGGTGGTTGCTTGTGTTACATTTGAGTAGGAGAAAATACATTTTTTTTAAAAGGCCACAACATTTATTAACAAAATTCAAAACAAATACAAGATATGCCCCAAAAAGAAAAAGCCATTTTGCAAGATGCAAAAACCAAAACTCTAAAGGATAAAAACATAAGAATCCCACAAGGACAAATCCGGGACAAAAGGAAAAGAAAAGATCCCCAAAATAGCATCCCATAAACATCGCCAATTCTATTAGAGGACATTTGATCTAGTGGTATCGTAGTCTTTAGCTTCTTAGAAGATCAGAGATTCAATCCTCATTATAGATGAGGAGGTTGTGTGAGTTTATTTGTTGCATTTGCCGTATATAAATATTATATACTTAAAAAAACATCACTAATTCCAAAGACTAAATGCAACCTAAAAAAATGAAAGGATTGCTAAAAACACCAGATTTGTTAACGAATACACGAAAATGGCACATAAAGCACCAACCCAAACTCGCGATTTAACCACTCGAAGCAAGCGAAAAGATTGCTAGGAGTAATCAATTTATAAATAGAAATATGTATATATTAATGTAAATAAATTTATAGAAAATGGAAAAATCCTTATACAAATATATAATATGCACGTACAAGCACAAGAACCATTGTAGAATCTGTAAATTGTATTTGTAGTTTGTAGATTCTTTGTGAAACAAACGCAGATGAGGCCTGCACCAACAATGTGTTAAGACAAAAATTCATCAACACGTTTTCCTAGAGGATATAAAAATCGAATTCAAGTTCTTACTTGAATCTAGTGAATTAATGGTATGTTTGGTGTCAGAACAGGGCATGACAAGACATGACAGAACATGACAATTGTTCAATGTTTGGTAAGATAAAACTGGACATAATAGAATAAGTAAAATGACCAATTTACCCATAATGAGTAGTTTATTTTAATTAATTTATGTAATTTATTAAATTATAATAGAATAATTATTTTTTATAACAAAATATATCATTTGAAAGTTTTCGTCAAAACAATTAAAATGACACCAAATAAGAAGTTTATGTAGTTTTCATTTTTTATTTTTATCTCTTTTCTACATTTATTATTATTAATATATAATAAATTACATAAATTAATAAAAATATAGAAACCGTATAAAAATAATATTTTGATGACAGTAAAATACAAGTTTAAGAAACATAAAATACAATAGATAAAATTTAAATAATAAATAAAATGTAAAAAGAAAACCTATTTGATGTTTTAGAAGAGAATTAAGTTTATTTTGAGGTTATATTGGTAAAATATAAGTATGTTCTACCTTGTTCCATGGGTAGGGGTGGAAATGGCTTGCTCCACTTTGTTTATGTCGGTTCAACATAAAAGTGCCAAACATGAAAATGGATCCCTGTCCTGTTCTATCCAGTGTACCAAACGCACCCTAATAGATGTTTGATGATAGAAACAAAAGAGATGATTGCAAACCACAAGCACCACGGATGGATAACGGTAAAAGAAATGCAGATAAAAGAACGAAGTTTCAGAATAACAAATGCAGAAACGAAATGAAGCACAAAAGAAGGTGGATCGTGAAGGTTCTTATCTCAAAATGTAACTGCATCTTGTGTTTTTGAGGTCTGATTGAACGAGATTCACGATCTGCGAATCACCGACTTGCATTCTGCGAATTAAGCATTATGGAGGGAGATTTTGGTCGGGAAATGAAACAACCCGCAAGAAAAGGTTCCTCTCAGAAGCATCCCACATCACTTGGCTAAACAAAATAGCCCAACACTAGACTGTTATAAAAACCAAGACCCAAGAGGATGAAAAGCATACCTTTCTCGGCCTTTTGGCTAAGATCAAGTGTAGTATCTGTTCTTATCAGTTTAATATCTGATATGTAGGCCATCGGTCTACTCGATATTAATCTTATTTTTTATGGGGAAAGACTTGTCACAATAGCTTGCTATTGGAGTCTTTGAGAGTCGCCTTGGCGTTGCACTATTGCCTTGGCCTGGCTCACCCCTCCAATCCTACTTTAAAAAATTCTTGTTCTTCTTTATTGCCATCTGTTTGAGCTGCAATTCAACACATTTAGGGAGTTAAAGGAACATTGGACATTGTTTAAATCTCATTTGTTAGAGTTTGCTTGATGTTTTGTGGCAATATACTCGAGCCAGTTACGAATAGTTGACACGTTGTTGGACCGGCAATCATTGATGTGTTAACAAACATGAGAAAATGCAGAATGAATAAAAGGACATCAGAGACATAAGGAGGGGGAAGTTAATAACTAATCTGACTTGGAAATCTTGCCTCTAAATTTGCCAAACCAATCTGTTGAAATGGTATCAAGCACAGTGGTGCCTTGTTTTAGAAGGTGATGAAAACAAAGTGCAAAACTGAAATTGTAAGTGTTAGAAGGCAAAAAGGAGGAGAAAACAAGGTCCAAAACTGATGGTGAAGGATCTTTTAAGCTTTAATGGTGCTTTGTTTCGTGGAGCATGACGATGGCGATTCATATTTACACTGCCACCGGTTGGGATTTGACGGGCTTTCTGTCCTTGTTTTATGTTATATTCGCTCCCATGTTTTAGCTCATTCTCGTTGCTTCTTAAACAATCCACCCCTGCAGAATACATATAAATTACTATCGTGTATGTAACCATAGATGCAAAAATATATGTGAAAATGGATGAATACTGACCATGAAATCGTTGTTGTATACTCGGACTATTATCAACCACGGAACATGAACGGGCTTGGTCACTTAAGAACAGAATCAAAAGGTATGCAATGATCGTTGATCTCATTATCAGCTGTGCGCTAATCTTGAATGCCGTTGTGATATTACGAAGATACTTGAATTCTAATCGAGGGAGATTGTTGTTTTAATAAGAAGTCTATGGTAAGCTTCATTTTGAAGCTTTTACTTTAACTTTTTGTTGCATATAAATAATACACTTAAAAAACTCTTTTATAAATCAAGAATCTATCATTTTGTGTTCTTTGTTTGCTGCATGCTACACATCCATAGCAGATCTGCTGATGAAAAGAAAGGGTMTTTTGATGGTGGAGAGTATCAAATCTGTTTTGTGAATAAAAGATCTCTTTAACTTCAATGGTGGTGGAGATGAGACTGAGTAATCACTAATCAGTGTCAAATCGATTGATTCCCCTTCTTTGGTATGAAATGGAGACATCCCATATCTTCTTAGTGACTAAAGCAAAAGACAAGAGAAGTGGGGATAAATTGTGAGGCCCCATTAGAGAGTAGGCATACCTGACTCGGCCTTTTGGCTAAGATCAAGTGTAGTATCGTGAATAGAATAGAATCTGCGAAACGGAAGATATGTATGGAACCATATGAATAAAATTTAAAGCACAAGATTGACTGATTGACGCTGATAAATAATCTCAAAAGCATCACGATCTTAGAGATGTAACATGCAGATCAAAAACAACAATGCTACTAATTTTGAACGAAAAGAGAAGCAAACATATAGAAGATGTTGTAGGAGTCTTGAATCCTACTGTGCAAAGCTTTCAAGCAGAAAGGACAGAAAAGAGGTGGATGCACAGATTTGCATGTACATTAAGCCTTTCGTAGATAGAATCAGTTCTCGTCTACCATCAAGAAAACAACTTTGTTTTTAAAAAACCTTCAACTTAATCAATCAAGGATTTGGGACTAAACTGGCTTAGCGGAATTCTTCAAATAGATAATATAACATCTTAAGAATGGAAAGGATTTCATATGCTAGCTGAAAGAAGTTCATTTAGATGCCTCCCACATTGCTTGAAGAACAAAAAATAGAGAGAGGGGATTCACTATAAAAACCAAGGCCCAAGAAAATAGAACTTATACCTTTCTCGGCCTTTTGGCTAAGATCAAGTGTAGTATCTGTTCTTATCAGTTTAATATCTGATATGTGAGCCATCGGTTCACACGATATTAATCTTATTTTTTATGGGGAAAGATTTACCATAATAGCTTGCTATTGGGATCTTTACGAGTCGCCTTGATGTTGCACTATTGCCTTGGCCTGGCTCACCCCTCCAATCTTATGTTAAAAAAGTTGCTGTTGTATTTTAGCTTTATAAGTGTGATATTGAGTAATAACAGAATCACTCTTTCTGAGGTCAAGTTCTTTATCATTTAAGCCTAATAGCAAATGGAGGTGGTACTTTTCAAATCAAATATTTGTTTAAGTTATGTAGGCACATCAATAATATGAAGACTACTCTAATTACATCACATATGTATATGTGTTTGTGTACCGATTTTCATGGTCATAAAAGCTGGACAGCCTTTCCAGTATATTAAGCCCTTTAAGGTTGTAGAGTACTTCTAGTCTACCGTTGGAAATGACCAAAATAATTTGTAGAAATTACCCTAAACATGATGAATCCAGGACTTGGGACACAAGAGAGTTCAACTAAAATTTAGTCAAATCGTAGCGAAAACATAGAACTAGAATTTACAGCACTTGGCATACTGAGATGGCATCTTGAATAGAATAGAATCTGTGAAATAGAAGATATGTATGAAACCATATAAATAAAAAGGAAATACATTTGAAGCATAAGATTGGCTGATCGACATGATTATCTCCAAACCATCATGATCTGATAGATATAACATGCAGATCAAAACCAAGTTATAAACAACGTTACAATTTTTTGTAGGAAAAAAGAAGCAAACATATAGAAGATGTTGAACCAGTTTTACAAGTCTTGAAGCCTACTGTGCAAAGCTTTCAAGCAGAACGAAGGGTGTTCGGCAGATAAACAAGTTCTAGTCTATATGGTGGCATATGGTATGTATTGAAGGAGTTCTATTTTGAAAATTGAAACGTGGAAACAACAAATCAATAGGTTATGTTAGAAGCTGGCACTTTACAAACTAAAGATTGGTTTAAGTTGTAGAGTCTTGACTAAATAATGAAGACTATGATGCTACCTTGGATTTGCATCTGGTAGTCGCATGCTCGTATACAAGTTCATGGCTTAATTTAAGCTGCATATTTTCCAATTCTAGATAGATTAATGGATACCACGAAGTCCTAGAAAGAGGAGTTGCACAGATTTACAAGTATATTAGGCCCTTCGCGAAAAAATATCAGTTCTAGTCTACCAGTTTGAAAACAATTTTTTGAAAAAAGAAACTTGAACTTAATCAATTGAGGATTTGGGACGCATAATGTTGTTTAGGTAAAACTTGGTGAATTGGTCTTGCAGAAATTTTCAAATAAATAATATAGCACCTTAGAATGGAAAGAATTGCATATGATAGCTGAAAGAAGTTCATTTAAATGACTCCCACATTGCTTGAAGAATGACAAATAGGGAGAGGGGATTCGCTGTAAAAACAATGGCCCAAGTATGTGAAAGGCATACCTTTCTCGGCCTTTTGGCTAAGATCAAGTGTAGTATCTGTTCTTATCAGTTTAATATCTGATATGTAGGCCATCGGTCTACTCGATATTAATCTTATTTTTTATGGGGTAAGATCCATTACAATAGCTTGCTATTGGGATCTTTGAGTGTCACCTTGGTGTTGCACTATTGCCTTGGTTTGGCGCACCCCTCCAATCCTGGTTAAAAATTTATGTTAATTTAGTTTATGATGACATTTAAAAAAACTTGATATATTATATGTCCAAACTCGCAATATGACCCTTTTATCCAATCTTCTGAAGTTGTGGTACTTTGGAATAGGCCACCTTAATTTTCTATCATAGATTTTTTTAAGTAGACTCGGTTAATATACCCTTATATATATTTAAGATGCTTACTAGCTGAACCTAAATTAGACTAGAGGTGTTTAGTTTCCGCACATTGTGGTTATTGGTTATGTTCTTTGTACTTGCTTCTATTTATATTGCTTACTCATATCTATTATATTGATCGTGCTTCTTCATCACTTTCATTCATTTCAGGATGCTCGAAAGATAAATAAAAAAGACCTTCTTGCCTTTTTTTTGTTCCAATAAAAACCCTTTATTTATAGGCACTATGAAGTATGACGATATAAGAGATTGCTAACACTTTATGTTAGAACTCGTCGCACATGGATAGAATGTAGTCTACTAATAACTTCTACCATGGTTTTATGTTGAGTTAGAAGTTATTGGGTCATCCTGTTGCTTTGGGTTTTGGGTGTTACAAATGGTATTAGAACCGATCCTTGTACCATCGAGATTGTGGGGCAAACCTCATCAGATATGACGAGTCCTCAAGGTTGCTCATTTTATTTCACTTCACAATTTTATTCCTTAACAAATCCATCTCTCTCTCTCTCTCTCTCTCTCTCTCTCTTTCTCATAGTTTCTAGTTATATTCTAGCATGTTAAATTTCATTTTCTAGAAACTTCACTAGTAGAAACTTACGGTAACATTCGAAAATCTGAAGATACCCAAACTTGCAATATGACTTTTTATTATCAAATCTTTTGAAGTTCCCGCACTTTGGCATAGGATGGTTTTCATCAGGAAGATGTTTTTTTGAAGTGGACAACTTTTTGGAGAGATTGATGTTGTTTGTGGTTGCTTTGCTCTAAGTATGCTACTGAATCGGCTTCTATAGTTTTAGTGCCGATAATTAAGAATTGATTTTTCCCTACTTGGTGCTTAAAAAACCAAATCACAAGCTTCTGATAAAAAAAACAAGCAATTCTAGTAAGATTTGTAAAATGAATACTTTTATGTTTTGCAGAGATATAAGGTGCCATTTTAGGATTCCATTTCCTAGTACCATGGCCARAATGAACTCCTGCTTCCATCATCTCTTCTAAATTAATGTTCCAATATCTTTTTGTCATTTCTCCTCACACTGCCTCCCCCTTTTGAAAAACAAAGAGAAGAGGTACCCTCAAATAAATAATTGTTCCAATGGAACCTTCTCTTCTACTGTAGTTTGTTTTTTCGGTTTGATTCGGAAACGTTATTTCATTGGTCTTTCTCGTCTTTCTCTCTTTCAAGTTTCAACATTGTATAGTTTAATGGTAAAATTTGATTACCATTAACCCTGAGAATAGTTAACGACTCTTTCGGTTTGAACCTATTCATCTCCTAAAGGGGCCGCCCCTCTGCGCCTATCCCATTTTTTGTGTTTTCCTTATGCTGACCCTCGGCCCCTATGGTCCAACGGTTTAACGCTTTGTGTTAGATTTGAGTAGAAGCAAATAACATTTGAGACAAAAAGAAAGAAGAGCTGAAGCATGGCAGAAGGATTAGGCTAAAAGAAATGCAGAAAAAAGAGCAAAGTTAGAGACAAACAAATTGAAAGCCATGATAGATGAAACAAGACGAAGCACAAAAGAAGGTGGATCGTGAAGGTTCTTATCGCAAAATGTAACTGAATCTTGTGTTTTGAGGCCTGATTGAACCTGATTTATGATCTGTGTATTTTGTGGGGAGAGTTTATGTTTGAGGCTTCAAGTGAAAGATATAGATTATTTTGGTAGGACCATTTCCAACAATCTAAACAAGGCAGAAATGGAACAATCCACAAAAGAAGGTTCCTTCAAACTTCAGAGGCATCCCACATCTCTAGACTAGACAAAATAACCAAACATTAGACTGTTATAGAAACCAAGGCCCAAGGAGGAGAAAAGCATACCTTTCTCGGCCTTTTGGCTAAGATCAAGTGTAGTATCTGTTCTTATCAGTTTAATATCTGATATGTAGGCCATCGGCCTACTC